TGTACGTATGCAGGCGGCGCTGGGTGCAACTGCCCGTTGAGGCATTGCTGCATCGCGTCTCATCGTAGTTGCGATGGCTGATCTCTGAATGGCGTTTTTTGTTTTTTCAGGTGACAGTGGGCACATCGCTTGCCATTCAGCCATCATCCGCCATCCATCATCATCGTCATCGTCATCATGGTCAGTTTCCAGTTAATCTCTGTGTACAAAAAAGAGCAGCGTGCTGCTGTTCAGTTGCATTTGCGTGTCACAGTGCAGGGGTACACGTCTTCACTGCACTGCATGAGCGCGCCCATGCTGTTTCGCTGCGTGTCGCGTTTTGTAAGAGGAGCAGTTGATGGTTCACGGGAAAGGGGGGTTGATGTGAAAGAGGGACTGAATGCCCAGAATGGACTATCAGCTAACGTTGTGGCTTTGTGCGATTGCTCGTCCCGATGCTGTGCTCATTTTTTGCGCCCATGCGTTCAGAATGCACAGGAAACACTCCATCATTTTCCGCGTTCTTTTTCGGCGTCTCTCTGGGTTCTGCAGTGCGGTGTGTCTAGCGCTGCTTGCTGCTGCTGCTGCTGCTAAGGCTGCATTTTGGCATTGCATCCAGCTCCCTCCCCTCCGTTTACTGTTCGGTCGAAGTGGTCTGTTCGCTGGCAAGCATTACGTTCGTTCAGGCTCGTCGTTATGACACTCGTACGACGATTTTTTCGCCGGAGGGACGCCTGTATCAAGTGGAGTATGCCATGGAAGCGATCTCCCACGCTGGCACTTGCCTTGGAATTTTGGCTACCGACGGCATTCTCATTGCTGCCGAAAAACGAAACGTCCACAAGTTGCTCGACGATGAGGTGAGCTGAATTGCCACTGCCCCCATACACTCCGGCAAGAATTGCATCTCCCACAAAGGCAGGCGAACATGTGAGGTGCAATGAGGCTGTTGCTCTGCCTTCCAGGCTTGAACTTCTGCCCCCCTCCTCGTACAGGTGGGTGGTTTCAGGCCGCCATATCCAGGCAGTCACGCAGAATTTCTGTACTTTGAATGATGGTGCTGGATCATAGCACAATTATCGACGACGTTTCAGTGGGGCCAGTGTGAAGTTTCAGGTGTTAGCTGAGAAAATTTATCGGCTCTCGGATAATATAGCTTGCACGGTTGCTGGAATCACAGCGGATGCGAACATACTAATCAATCATCTGAGATTCTGGGCAGCCGACTACAAGTACAGCTACGGGGAGCACATACCGGTGGAGCAGCTCGTACAGATGCTTTGCAATGAAAAGCAGCGCTACACACAGGTTGGCGGTAAGTCCATTTTTTGCTCGCTTCCCTTTACTGCCCGCCACTGATTGAGGACCGTGGGAAAAAAAAAAGAAACATCGGCTGCTGCTAGGAGTGGACCAGTGAGGCGCATTCCAGTATCGGGCTGATCGGCAACCTCAGTGATGTGTGTCTGTTGTTGCTGAAGCGGAGAACAGTGCCCCAGCTTCTCTTTTGCGCTTCCACCTACAGAGCTCTAATCGATATCTCTCATTCATGCCATACTTTAGCTTCCCGAATCAAGAAAATGCGAGTTTTTACGGGTTTTTCTTCTTTCCACTCCAAAATTTTGGGACTGCTTTTTCTCTTCATCATATGAGTTTCCTGGATAGACAAAACTTTTTTTATGAAGGCTGCCAAAACAGTTCTCTTGCAGGAAAACGCCCTTTTGGTGTCTCGCTTCTTTATATGGGCTGGGATCAGCACTTCGGTTATC